CAAGGAGTCCTCATCGATGCAGCCTGTAATTACAGTTGTGATTCTGTCCTGTTGACATAGCTGGACAAATGCAAGTCATCCAAATGTGTGCTTTGTATACAGATTTTGTCAGTTCACAGTTGGATTGCAACAGGCTTCTTGATAAATAGCTTCACAAGGCCAAGGCAATAATGGCAATTTCCTGTGCCAAAATGTTAAAGTTTTACTTCACATCCACATGCAAGTTCAGTTAATCTTTAACTTTTGCCTTTGCTCTCCTGAGTTCTTCTTTACACCATTTGGATTTCTTTACTTTATATACTATATGTTTATAGGGGCAATAAAAAATAAGGTAATTAAGGTATAAATATGTCTTAAAATATGGCCAGATCTTCATCTAAGTTACAATTATTAACAAACACAATAGATTTTCCATCCATCCATTTTCTAAACTGCTTAGGCCCAGACGGGGTCACGGGGACAATAGATTTTAACATATACGTATAAATCATTATAAGTTTTTGTTCATATTGATCCATTAGAATTCAAATGGATCCAGGTTTTTGATCATATTGAGTCCAATAGGTGAAACCAGATTGTAAATTAGAGCTACTGTGACAAAAAAACAAAAAAACTCAAAGGCTACAAAATAATCTCAAATAGTTTAGAAAGTCATTAGTCCACAGTTAGACAAAGCGTCAGTAGATGGAGATGATTTAGCTCAGAATGCTCAGAGAGGTATGAAAAAAGAAGAAGAAGCCCAGAAGAGCAGCTAAAAGCATAGAGGGATCACGGAGCTGGTTAAAGTCTCTGTTCCTGAGTCTGCCATACACAAATCTTGGTGCATGGTTGCATGGAGCACAGAGTCCATGGCAGGAACCATGGAGAAAGCCACTGCTGTCAGGGTGGCTGTCGTCCAGCTGAATGTCAGTGAAAGCTCACTGGTGCAGTGGAGCAGAGAAAATCCACCCTCTGGAGTAGCCCGGTCCTTAAACTGTCAGAGGCCCTTCACACCAGACATCCTACTGTAAGAGTATGACTATTAGACAGAAGGGCCCAG